CAGTTGCAGCACTGCACCTTTTCCTGCAGCCTCAACCACCCACACAGAAAAAAACTCAAGAGATGTGTGCAGGTGCCATTAATACTAATGGCAAGCTGCACGCACTGGAAATCACTCCTGTACTGGGAGCTGCACTGCACTTGAGGTTTCTGTGTGGGCTGCGATTGCAAAAATGGAGCAGGGACCTTTTCCCTATGTTTCAGGAGGCATGGCAGCCCATTCACATGAATGGGCGGCTGTGCCCAAACAAAACGTGGCTTGCTGAGCCGCATCAGTGTGGACCTATCTGGAAAATGACTGAGGAAAGCCTTCCTCCTGCCCGCAGCAGACAAATGATATAATTTTAACCTAGGCAAAGTCACTGGACTGGAGGCGAAGGTAGGCTTTCTGAAAAATCATACCGTTTCTGTATATTTTGACATGTCAGGTATTTATTCATGCAGATTTGAACGTTTACTGAAAGGTCAGTTTTAACCACATTTTAGATAGGGCGACATGATAAAGTTTTGGGCTATTTGAGGCCACTCAAAATAGTGATAATCAGGTCCTCAGCCCATCAGTCAGATTTCTTACTTACATTGGTGGTCAGTGGGCACAATGTCTTACTTACATTGGCAGTCAGTGGACAGAATGTCTTACTTACATTGGTGGTCAGTGGGCACAATGTCTTACATTGGCGGTCAGTGGACAGAATGTCTTACTTACATTGGTGGTCAGTGGGCACAATGTCTTACTTACATTGGCGGTCAGTGGACAGAATGTCTTACTTACATTGGTGGTCAGTGGGCACAATGTCTTACTTACATTGGCGGTCAGTGGACAGAATGTCTTACTTACATTGGTGGTCAGTGGGCACAATGTCTTACTTACATTGGCAGTCAGTGGACAGAATGTCTTACTTACATTGGTGGTCAGTAGGCACAATGTCCTACTTACATTGGCCATCAGTGGACAGAATGACTTACTTATATTGGTGGTGGTCAGTAGGAGGAGTGTCTCCTTTACAGTGGTTGTCGCAATGCTTCCCTTACAGACAGCTAAAAAGATTATTGGTGTCCAGCAGCTGGCTGTACCAAATGGTGTTGACCCCAGAACTATCCAAGCACCAACAAATGGAAGATCAATCAACCACAGCTCAAGGAACCTCTGGAAGAATCCTACAGTTCTGTTGAGAATGGCTGGTCTAGTGTCCCCAGTGCGTTACAGACAGAGAGATATTGCTTTGTACATTACTTATGGGAAAAGATCTACTTGTCTATGGCCAAATAAAGTCCAATCTTCTGTCCTCCCCACCCTAAGTAACAGCTCTTGCTCAATAACATTATTTAAAAAGTACCGAATGAGAATTAAATTAGGATACATTCACGTATTTCCATCAACTGTGAATCAGCCCCATTCAGGTAGAATCTGCCAGATCAATTCTCTAATCTCCATTCAACATATTTTAGCACTTCTCGTGACAGCACAATTTTAAATCGGAGTTGAATGCCTAATTCAGCAAAGGACCTGCAATTTTAGGCCATTAATTTTAGTTTCTCCCTCCCCACAAAGTGAGTCTTTAATTCCTGGACATTCAATTACTCGAATTAGCATGAAGGCCCATTAGTCCTCAATTAATGAGGAGGTTAATTGTCTGGCACCAATCAGCCGAGTAACTTCCTCATTATTTCAGTTCATCCTGGAGCCTGGCTGTAAAATTAGCCGCGTTCTGCGTAAATGCCTTCGCCCTGCATCAAATATCTGCACAAATGGCGTGAACCCTTGTCACCCGTCGCCAGGCGCTGATGAGTGTTTCTGTAATCCATGGCAAAGTCAGACTCGAGTCTGCAAGGCGATTTCCTGGTACGGTCGTTAAGCATCAACCGTCAGACATTTATGCCATTTTTAAAGAGTCAGTACAGATGAAAAAAAATTATTTTTAAAGAATTTCTCCAGAAGAAATGTAAACCCTTCTTACTTATCCTTGAAGGAGATTGTTCAGTGATGACTAACCTCATTAAAGGGCATGTAAATGCTAACAATGTACTTCTCTTATTTGCTCCCTTTTGGTCTGATAAATATACCATTGAAATTATTTTGTTGTATTTGTTTGCTAAATGCAAAAAATATCTGTTGATCCTGACAGAAATCTTCCTTTACTCTCTGCGTCCTCTCCAGCCTTATCCTTTGCATTGTTCTCATATCTCTTTGTACCAGGGATGGACTGACAACTCATGGGGCCCCGGGCAATAGGGGATCATGGGGCCCCTGTGTCCTTGCCCAAACTCAAAAAAGCCTATGAAAAGGTACCAGGGGCACCTCATGGGGCCCCCTACTGACCCCGGGCTCTCGGGCAGTGCCCGAGTTTCCAAATGGTCAGTCCGCCCCTGTTTTGTACACTCCAGAACTCCTCTGTCATATTATGAGACTATGATTAGTCCTTTTCCCTCTTGCCCACTACTGAAACTGTCACATCACATCCTGTTAGCAGAATGGATTCAGTTTTTTTTTCTGACAGCAGAGAATCTTGGGACCTGTAGTCCTATAGCCAATACATCCTGTATTCCTGAGTGCTGATTGAACTACATCTACCAGAGAGCTGTTGAACAAGAAGGATGCTGGGAAAGCAGATATATTCTACAACAAGGGACCATCTCTCTCTCTTTCTCTTGGTGTGGGATTCAGAGCTGAACACAGGGGGACTGCCATTCTCCTACAGAGAAAGATTGCTGACCTACTGCTGCGGGACTCTGCACATCAGTTCAGCACAGCAGTGATGCCGAGCACCACACCTTGATTGCATCAGTCATCTCAGCATCGGGACTGTCACTGTCCGGTCTTCACACAGATATCTCTGCTCGCTGCACTTACAGACTGTCAGGAGGTAACTCTGCACATCCCTGCAAACATCCAAGAGCCTGGGCAAGAATTCTTGTTCCTAGGAGTCCATGCTATCATTAGGATTGGTGAGCGGGTAGATGTCCAACCTCTTTCTGTCATCACTCTAGAGACATTGCATGCAGACACCTTTACACCTCAGTTACCAGGAGACCTTTGCTTTGAGCAGTGCCAGGTCTTATCTGTTTAACATCATTGAATTACCAGTATTCACTAATGCTTGAGGGACCCACCATTGCTAGCAGAAGCCAGCTAGTTAAAGGGACATTTTCTCTTCTAAGGCAATTGTTATTCAACTTAGGGTACTTATATCTATTTATGCCAGAGTATACATTTACATAATTCTCTGCATGCCACATTTCATGGGTTTCAGAGGCCCTCTTCGTCAGGGTCTAGGAGTACAGAAGTGAATAAGGTCTGGCCAATGAGTGATGTGATTCATAGACGTAAGTCAACTCCAATGAAACTCTGTTTGCAGTTACTGGTTTGGCAAATGCTATAATAAATAAACCTGGAAGATTTTTCCAGTCTGTGCTATCTTTCTTTTTTGCCCTTCTACTATGGTTTTTTATTTTTGTCTGTGTCCCTGTTAGAGATCTCCACGTATTTCCTGTTCCAGTGACAAGGTTGTCATTGACACAGGAAATGGGGTAATGGGGAAACCCACATTACCTCTTCTCCCTTCCCATGGAGCCACAGCCACTCATAAAAACTTGACAAACTCTCTTCCATTAACTTAAAAAAAAATATTTGAGCTACACGAAAAAAATTTTTTTAATGATTTCTAACTAAATTTGAGAGGATGGACTGGAGCCAAAATATGTCCAGGTTATGTGGTGCAGTGGATAACCTGTAACAGAAGCCTCAATATTTTCTGAACATCTGCCAAACCTTTTCCAGGTTTCAGTAGCCACATGTCTCATTTTTGTAGTCTTTAAGCTTTCAGATCACCACTCAGCAACTGCGTTGTGGCAAATTCCCAGTCGAGAAACCATTAGCTGCACACCTGGCTTACTTTAGGACATTTTTATAACTGGGCCTTCATGTCCAATTCATCCTGCATCTTTATTGACTTAACTTATGGATTGTAATAGGGAAGATTTACTAAAATTGGAGCAGACAGAATCTGGGGCAGCTGTGCAAAGTAACGAATCAGCTTCGAACTTTAGCTTGCTCAGTTTGACTTTGACAATAAAACCTAGAAGCTGATTGGTTGCCATGCACAGCTGCTCCAGATTCTAGTTGCCCCAGTCTCCAGTAAATCCTCCTCAATGTGTCATTTGGTACATTTTTCAATTTGAATGGTATTTCCCCTTTAATTGTTTTATCTCAGAAGTTTGCTAGCCATACAAATACTCCTGCAGTTTAGGTCTGATCCCAGCGTGACCTGGCAGAGGTGACATAATCGCACCATCCCAAGTCCATAATTAGACCTGGAGCAGACTTGGCGCAGTGGTACACGCCCATTGTACGGAACACAGACAGTTTCACGGTTACATAACTCGTTTCCATAATAAATGTTTCCTTATTGAGGTTTTGTGTCAGGCTGCCTGGCTCAGCTGACCTGCTTCCCATCCAATGAAATTCGAGGATGGGTAATGAGAAGCACCTTGGTTACAACGTGCGAGTCCTCCTCATCCGGTACATGACGGTGTACACGTGTTGTCCCCTTAAACACTGCATAAGCAGGTGGTTTTAATGCTCAGAGCTACAGAACAAACTGAAGGTGGTTATTAGTGCATGCTGATCAATACTTTTTATATTCAATTATACAACACTGTACTTTACAGTAAAATGAAGGGATACATGGTGTCCCAGGACGGCAATCATGAACATACTGAGGGCTGATTCACACCCTGTCCATTGACCTGCGTTGATCTGCATAGATTGTTACAGGGACAACACAAGGGTGCATATAGAACAACTGTTTTCCATGTGCCTTGTTTACCCTTAACCTCTTAATGTCAGCACCTCTTGGTCTTTTAAGGGGTTTCTGATGCTGGAAGGCAGCGTGGGGTTTCTGATTATATGAGCACCATGATTGGCTGTCACCAGGGGCGGACTGACAATTTGGAAACTCGGGCACTGCCCGAGTAGGGGGCCCCATGAGATGCCCCTGGTACCTTTTTCATAGGCTTTTTTGAGTTTGGGCAAGGGCACAGGGGCCCCATGATCCCCTATTGCCCGGGGGCCCCATGAGTTGTCAGTCCGCCCCTGGCTGTCACATTGGACACATGATCTGAAGGTTCCAGATCTCAAGTAGAGATTTGGGAGCTTTCCTGGTAACTGTGCCGGGAGTGTGCAAGGCGCACGCTCTCTCGACCCAGCTCTGTTTACATTCTGGTACGCATATATGCGGCCTCTCAGTGCCAAGGTCCACCTGTCAAGAGGCCACATAGGCCACATATATGTGTCCCGCCGGCGCAAAGAGGTTAAAGCTGTGTTGAGATGCGGTGCAGTGTGCTGCATAAGGCTTTGTTCACATGGGGCATATCAGTGGGTAGCCCATGCCAGGGTCATATTTACCCTTACAAAGGTGCAAGGGTGTTCTGTGCATCCCTGTGCAGATAGTCCCTTTGATGTCTATTGGGACGCAGTAGTTGCACAGACACACAGGCAGGTGCTTACAATAGTTGCTACTGTTATAGTTAGGGATTTTAGGTTGCCCAGGTGGTAAGGGGTTCTGCAACTTTCCTGGGCTTTTCTTGGCTCTGCCCTCCAGCCTGTGCTGCAAGTAAGGGGAAAGGCTCTGCTCAGTATGCTGGAGACTGGCCACATGGGAAGAGGATCAAGATCGCTAGCAAGATGCAAGCACCCTCCAGAAGATCTGCCTAGAAAGGACGCTTCTATACCATGGACTATTGCCTGGAAAGGTATGCCTGGGCAGCCTGAGAATAGCTAGTTAGGATGAGACTGTGGTTATGCTTGGGACTGTAATGCTAAATAGTTTCTCAGTGTAGCGCTCACCACTTGAAAGAGGTACTGAGTATTGGGTCCCCTTATATCCTGCACAGCCAAGCAACACACATTTTTAGACTTCCACTCAGAGTCAGTAACCAGTCCATGAGCTTGTTTTTGTTATTTTATTTAGGGGATAAACAGCTTGGATAGGGTTTAGGGGTATATGGGATGCCCAACTTGATTTGCAGTGATAACTCTGAGGACAAAAAGGTAGATCCTGAACTTTCTACTCAACCCAGAGTGGCACAGTCACTTAATTAATCAGTAGCACAGTCTCTGTGAGGAGCACCTGGTCCCCTCTAAGTGAACTCTCTTCAGACCGCAGCTAGGAAAAGCCCATCCACCTGACTGTACTTTGAAGAGTACTCTGAAAAGCAAGAGATTCCAAGACAGGCATGCAGCACTGTCCCAGGGAGAACAGGTTAAGTATTACCCAGCAGCCCTCTCTTCTGTAGGCCCAGGAGTGTAGAGGTACTTACTGTCCTTGTATCCTGTAGCTCTTGATAAAATGCATTCAGGCCTCTCACTGAGCCAGTTTCTGTCCCCGCTTGCAGGCTGTTCTTCCCTGGTTGACTTTAAGGTAGTGGAGCTCCCTCTGTTAGCTTCCTTTCCTTTTCTGTAGCCTCCAGCCTAGAGGCAGACCCCCCCCCCCCTCTTCCCTGCCAGGGTCCCCTCCAAGGTAGACAGCAGCATCTTTAGTAATCCATCTGCCAGTCGACCCAGACCCCTGCTGAAGTGGCTCTTTATATCCAGGGGCAGTCTACCATACTATCAGAACCTACAGCTGGGGATTGGTCAGACTCCCACGAATATGCAGATACAGGTCTCCACCCCTCTGCCCACTAGCTTCTGGAAGCTTCTATTGGCCTTCAGAACCAGATGGACATGATAGAGGCCCAACCTGCTGAGTCATCCAGCCTAACCTGGGCTGACCTGGACTTGACATGATCACTACTCAGACATGCTCACTCCAACTACTGAGTGAGCCATTGCATTTTCCTAATTCTCTACAACAGTCAGAGTGTTAACCGTTCAAATGCCTGGTCTGTAGTTACTACAAGGGGTGCATGGTGGTACATGGCATGTTGCAAAGGAACAAGGCCTGATATGCACGCACAAAGTAAAGAGGAACCAGTGGAAGGGATGGCATGACAGCCAGACAGTGGGAGTACAGTACTGGCAGGTGTTACGGCACCCCAGGAAACCGGAACATAATCCATGTGGTGGAGGCCCTAGGGACCTAGCCGTAGGTACGGAAGGAATTAATCATGACAAGTTGTGCACACAAGAGAGTTTATCCAAGTACATGGCAGAACCCATGGGTTATCACTGGGAGTGAGGTGAGGTGTCTGTATTTTTTTGGGACAGCGTGGCTCACTCAATAAAGTCTCAGGTTGTGATACAAAGGCATCGCATGTACAGCTTACTTCTGATTTGGGGTTGCTGCCTTAATGTTGATTTCACATGAATGCGGCCCCACCTTGTCCCAGGCATTGGTGAGCATGTACACCGGGGAAGGAGGAGAGAGCCCTGCCCTCACTTTGCTTTCAATTTAACAGGTGCGGATGCACAGCCCCAAATGCAGACAAATTTGGAGCAATGGCTATGGTCACACCCTGTGACTGAGCATGAATTTATCATGTCAACAAGGGCTAGAAATGTAGTATGTCTGCATCTTTACGCAGCGCAACACACATCACCACATGTCACCGCATTACAGCACATCGCAACATGCTGCAGTGCACAGAGTTCAATGTAGTGTCATTTTATGACAATTCAATGAATTTAAAAAGTAAATAAAAAAGGAAAAAATGCATCACACATTGTACTTCCCTTAAATCCCATTCATACCTCAGCATTTTGAAGCTGGATGCTCGAGGCTCAAAAATGATCAACAAGCCATATTCCATTGTTTTCAATTGCCACTGTTCACATACTGTATGAGCAGGGGCAATTGACCCCATAGACTTCAAAGGAAGCACACCAAAACATAGGACATGTGCAACTTCTTGCCAAACAGAAGCTATCTACCCCTAATCTCCTCCTGCCCTCCTCCTCTTGGTTTTTGCTATTGGCTAAAACAAAAAATGCCCGAAGCTTGAATACACACTTAAAACGCTTGTAATACAATTCTAAAACACATATATACACCTGCAAAAAAGCTTAAAAACTCTCAAATAAAAACGCATAAAAATCACTTTTTTTACTGTCTGCGTTATTAATATGGGGAGATTTCCCATCACTTCCTGCATTGGAAATACAATTTGACATTTCAACATAGAAAGTTTCCACCAAAACAGATGTCCCCATTGCAACATTTCCCCTCTATTCCTATTCTGGTGACAACTGTAACATTTTGGGTTTCTCATCACTTTTTGTCCTGGTGACCACTGTTAGAGACAGACCGTGAATCTGCCCAGCTGGGTACAGAAAGCAATAAAGATCCAACTGGGTTTTAAAACTAGAACAAAAAAATAAGTAAAGAAATTTAAAAAAAATCGCCTTAGATACAATTTAAAATTAAGTTTGAGATATTTTAAGAATTCATCTGCAAATGTGAACAAATGACAATTATCCAGATAAAATGGAAATCTGATTTCCTGCTACAGGCTGTTCACATGACTGGTGCCTAGGCATTGATCATGTAGTCTTGACTTTTAAAGAATATTTGTGGAATTGAACTTGATAGACCAGAGCTGTCATCTCCGCCTGAATGCCCAACCCTTAAGAGCCATTTGGGGGACACATTCTGTTACTACTACATCATGTGACCAACTACTGGAGATAGTGCAGACAACATTTTCAGACCCGAAATTTCCAGTTTATCAGATTTGTTTTCAATAACTCACTTTTTTTTAAAGAAAATTGGTTACAACTGGACTCATGCAAAAATCTGAATAGAACAGTCTTATCTGCCATAGGATTTGTAATTCTGTCTGGTCACTTCTTTGATTCATACACCTCTGATTTACACCACTTTCTCTATTAGAGCTCATTTACATGTGGTGCCGAGTATGCCACTCATTGAAAATTGATCTGTGATGGATCGCTTTCCACAGGCATTTAAATGGCAGTTGAATGGGTCGTGTTTGGCGGTGGTACTGCCTGCTGTACACAACCTTATGTCTAAATTTTGTAGCACCACATTAAGACCACAGCAGTGTGTATTAACAAGGCCACATTAGCCTGTGGCTCAGCAGTTGGTAAAACCAGGGCTCATTTTACTGTCCCTCACCCATCTGTCTAAACAAGGCCGTAGGGTTAAAGAATTCAGTGGTGTCACCTCCCAGTCTGGATAACAGGTTTTCCCAATCAAGAGACATTCGCCATCATCTGGTTGTATGGAAACATTAGCTGCATCCCAAATGTTCCCCATTCTAAGCTAAAATAATCATTAATATTGTTTTTGCAATGGCTCCACACGGAGACCAGCACCAATCAACTGCCTAAGTCTACATTAGCCACACATTCCCCGATCATTCGCCACACAACACCTCAGCAAGGAACCCTAAATTGCAGGCCAAAACATTCCTAAACCCCATCTATGATAAGAGGGAGTAAAAATGTGGCCAAATGTGAATTACCCATTAAATTGTGGCGGGTCACTTCAGAAGTTTTGATATTGTTTCAAATGCACGCTGTCTCTGTATGAATTTCTAAAATCTGTAGTAGAAAAGGAACCCGATCTGGCACCCAGGATGAGAAGATTTCCCAGGATGCAGAGCAGCTCGCGTTTGCTGGCCTTTGTGTGACAGACCCAGTGATGGCTGAGCTGAGTTCTGATGTAAATGAACAGCTGAAGCTGATTAGACTTCATTTTCCAGACAGATTATTGACTGACTGTCATTACAGAGATTGAATTCCCGGAGAGCCGCAGCCTTTGCATCTCCCTGGGCAGTTTAAAGAGCACCTGTTGCACGCAAGCAGTGGGCACAGCCATATTGCCAGTTGTATCAACCTGCTCAGGAATGTATCCTATCCACTCACTCAAAGAGCTAAAGACACTTGGAGACATTCGATCAGTGTTTTTTGTAGTTATGGACAATTTGTGAAAAGCTTAGGACTGTTGTAAGGATCTTATTATAGTCTGTGTCTCCACTGGGGAGATATACCCTCACTTCCTGTTCCAGGGACACAACAGAAGGTCAGAGGAAATCTCCAGATGTCTCTGAAAGAAGCCAAATCATTTTTTTTCTGTAATAGTCACCTTCAATCCAGAGATTTCCCCAGCAGTACTTTTTTCTGCCACTAGATGTCCTCAAATATTCCCTTTGAGAAAGTCACGTAATGAAACGCGTCAGTGACATGTCCATGTGACGTCATCACGCACTGGCAGAAGTGGATGTGAGCTGTATTTCTACATGCAGTTCATGCTGATGATTTTC